GCATTATTTTTTTAATTTTGATGTCATTTCAGTGAAACATTGAGACTTGCAAACATAGATGGAGCAAAGTGAAAGTGAAAGTGTAACAGGCGTCCAGTTGAGTCCTGACAGGAAGTGTTATTAGTCTCCTATGTGGCGAGGGTCTGGGTGGATGCTCACACTAACAGATGTAAAATATGGTTTAGAAATTTACACAGTGCACAACAACGCCACCCTGGGAATTTCACCTAGGGAAATTCGGTTCCAACTACTGGGCACACAGGTTCGCTCTATTCAATTAGCATAAGACGTGGTTCGTGGTATAAAAATATATATTTTATTACAATTGGTTAAAATAAATAATCAAAGTCATTCACACAAAAGAAGGGGACTAGTCAGGGGCAGAGGCTTACCGGGTGGACAGATATTAGTGAACGGGGAGTGGTTCACCCAAAATATAAATAAATCACCCACGCACACACACGTTGAAATAACCAACACCAGGGAGCACAACACATCAAAGGAGGGGACACCACCACCAGTCCCCGACACCGCCGCCACCACCACCGGCCTCCAACAACTGAAACAAGAATAAAATATTAGGGGAGTTGCAACTCAAAACAAAAAGAAATAAACCAGTAATGGGCAAGTTAAACCTAGGAAACAAAGGTATAGCCAACAAAAGGAAACCTAAATGCCCAAATGATAACTGCCCAATAGAAATCAAAGCAAAACAATTCAAAGAAAATACACAATTCAAAATATTGTTTAACACAAGAAAAACAAAGGAAATCTAATTAACTGATCAAAAGAAACCCAAAGAAATGAAACAAATTAATAACCTAAGTAATTAACCCAAATTCAACTTATACAACCCACACCTCACTCATACAATTAAATCGACTAAAAAAGGGAAATCCAGCTCAGTACAAGTAAGCCATGCAAAGGCACTGTGAGTAACCTGAAGGCTCCAGGTAGCCTGCGGCAAACAGTATTATTTTGAAAAGCGACGGCTTTAAAAAGGTCCGTCGAAAGCTGCACACCGCCGAAACGCCACCCAAGCAGCAAGTAAAACAGCAGCAAAGCAGGCAAGAACAGGAAGCAAGCTGGAAGTAGAGCCGAGACAAAGCAGCAGCCGTCCGATCTGTGGTTTCGCCTAACCAGAATACATTATTAGCACTGTACAATTTAGACTGAAAATGATGCAGTTGCAACAGAGACAGGACATACCTTCAGCAGAAGTGGATGCGCGCACACACTCACACAGGAGGGAGGACGAGAGGGACAAATCCGGACATCAGCATTTCCTATGACCACACTAGCATTAGCTGTCGGCATACAAATACCATGATGCAGAGAGAGAGGACACTTACCACGCCAAACAGGAGCATGCAGGAGCGACAGAGCAGCACACACAGCGGGACGCACGCAGTGGTAAAGAGGGAGCCGGCCTTTTACCGGAAGCAATGTGGAAAGTGGAAGAGCAGGGGAGAAGGCCGTCTTAAATACGAGCCCCTGCTCACTGATAGGCTATCAAGCAATCAAGGTGCGTTCAAGGTATATTACCTGCAAAGCGTAGACTATGCTGCCACACTTAGATGTGGGAAGTGTTGTGTAACATTCAGGATTGGTTGCAGCCTGACTGGCCAGATGAATCATGCCTGGTAGATCAGTATACTTTATCCTTGATATGGGAACCTTCAACAGATTTACTTATACTGCCATCTAGTGGAGGGCTAACTCAGTAAAATATGTCTCTTTATACCCAGTCTGACACAGGTACTTCCAATGTAAGGGGTAAGTGGTCAAGGTTATGGAGGCTTCAACCCCCAGAAAAGAGCTCCGTCACTGTGAGCAAGGAAAAAATAAAAAATATATAAAAATAAAAAAAATAAAAAAATAATAACAATAATATTCTCTGCAAAAACAACAATAGTTCCCTTGTGCATTTGGGGCTAGGGCCCTAATTAAAAGTAGTATAAAAAGAATGACTCAAAAGAGTTCATCATTACTCATTCATTTTTGTGTAGACTACACTGACTTAATGTTAACAATAACATAGGTTACAGATGTAAGTTAAATATTTCTGCTGTTTGTGAATTACTAAATTGTGAGATATTTCATGCATTACATTTTAAATGCATTGTTTTTGAATGTTAAAGTCAAACATTCGGAAATTGAGTTCAATAAAGCTTCAAGTTCCCTTTTGTGCACGTTTCAAGATATTTGCATAATTATAAACAGAATAACTGACACTAGAGTGTGTGTGTGTGTGTGTGAGAGTGTGTGTGTGTGTGAGAGTGTGTGTGAGAGTGTGTGTGTGTGTGTGTGAGTGTGTGTGAGTGTGTGTGTGTGTGTGAGAGTGTGTGTGAGAGTGTGTGTGTGTGTGTGTGAGTGTGTGTGTGTGTGTGTGTGTATGAGTGTGTGTGAGTGTGTGTGTGTGTGTGTGTGAGTGAGTGTCTGTGGTGTTAGTGTGTGTGGTTTCAGTGAAACAGCATGACTTGACTTGCAGACATAGATAGAGTAAAGTGATGTGAAAGTTTACCGGGGTTCCAGTTGAGTTGTGTAACATTTAGGGTGTGATTCCAGCCTTAAAGGCAAGCAACTGAATCCTGCCTGGAGATTACTGGCAGGAGCAGTAATGTGTGTGTTTGTGTGTGTGTGTGTGCTTTATGTGGGGAGTGCGGGAGCGGGGGGGGGGGGGGGGGTCATGTGCTTTCCGTGAAGTAGCATTATTTCGAGACATAGACTGGTCAAAGTGAAAGTGAAAGTGAAAGTGGACAGGAGAGATCAGTTGAGTGCGGAGAGGAGGAGCTGGTCTCCCAGATCACTATATATACAAGTCATTTGACATGAGTTCTGCACCAACCTACCGACCGCTAAGCGAAAGTAGAGTCTCTTTCTTCCTTCACCTACAGGAAAGGTAAGTGAATTGATATTTTCATATATCTCAGGACACACTGCAAATCTTATGTAAATCATACTTCAGGGACTTAGTTTGTCATCGATATTTTTTTCTGTGGATAGAAAATGATTGTTTATGAATTAGAATCAGAAACTTGGCAATACCATACCTAAAGGAATAACTGTTAAACACCTGAACTCACTCCTGTGTCTGCTAATCAGGGACATATTGTCTTTTCTGGTCAGACATTTTGGCGAAAACAGTATTGCCTGTCAGTTAATCTTGTTTATTTTTTACTATGTGTTATAATTTGTTCATTTAAATCATATTTATATGTGTATGTCTGCAACAGGGAGAAACTGATAAAAATGAAGCAGTTCATGCAACATTCATAAACACCAAGCTTTTCTAAGAACAGGGACATTCTGCGTTACACAGAACACACCCTAGCTCAATCATTAACTCATTAATGTGTAGCATATCACAAGCACATAACACACAGAGGTCATTATTGTTGTAAGTTGTCAGATTTTGAAATAAAAAACGTAAAATGTGAATGTGTGTGGTAACTCCTCCTGAACCCATTTCAGAAGGAAAACAAAATGAATCATGCCTCATTTGCCTTCCATTTATGTTACTTCCTCCCCTCCCTTTTCCGGAGTTTATATGAAATGTTGATCAGTTGAGAGGTTGAAAGGAGGAGGTTTGGAGGGAATGCTTGTGCTTGGCCACACGCTATGGAGTGAATAGTTATAGTTAATCATATTTGATACCCTATAACTATATCATATTTGATACCTTATAATCCAGAGATATTTCTTTAGACAGTGGCTTCGTCTGGTCTGCATAAAGCAAAATTAGAAATGTTACATGAAGGACAAAAAAATGACATTGTTATGAATCAATAAATGAATAAATGCAAATTGAAAACATTTTGTTAATGAAAAAAATGCTGTGCTGCACTGCTCTACTGTGTGAGTAAGAGGCAGAGAGGCAGAGCAGCACATGCAGTCCACACAGCAGCTGACAGACACATGGTTGAGCTTCGTTCCTTCTCTCTCTCTCAGAGCGCCCTCTAGCGGTCAAGGCATTAGCAGCAAACATCATGAAACAATATAACCAATCTGACTTTAGACTGAGGTAGGACTTCCTACTCAATTAACATACGGACACAGAAATAAATAAATAAATGTAGAAATGTAGAAATGTAGAAATAAATAAATAAATAATTAAATGAAAGCATAAATAGATAAATAAATAAATGTAATAGCATTTTTTTTTTACCAAAATCTATTTATTTTGCATTTATTTACGTATTTAATTATTAATTTCTTCATTTATTTATACTTATGTCATTTCTTCATAATTTTGTATAGCGTGTGGAATATTACAAATACATGAATGATAAGCCATCCATCACAAGAACATACACACAGAGGTCATTGATTTAGATTGTAAGAATTGTGCAGACTGGTTTGAAAATAAAAAACGTAAAAGTGAATGTGTGGGTAACTCCTCCTGAACCCATTTCAGAGGAAAACAAAATTGAATCATGCCTCATTTGCTTCCATTTATGTTACTTGGCCTCCCCTCCCTTTTCGGTAGTTTATACGAAATGTTGATCAGTATGAGGAGGTTGAAAGGGAGGATTGAGTGTTGGAGGAATGCTTGTGCTTGGCCACACGCTATGGGAGTGAATAGTTATAGTTAATCATATTTGATACCCTATAACTATATCATATTTGATACCTTATAATCCAGAGATATTTCTTTAGACAGTGGCTTCGTCTGGTCTGCATAAAGCAAAATTAGAAATGTTACATGAAGGACAAAAAATGACATTGTTATGAATCAATAAATGAATAAATGCAAATTGAAAACATTTTGTTAATGAAAAAATGCTGTGCTGCACTGCTCTACTGTGTGGAGTAAGAGCAGAGAGGCAGAGAGCACATGCAGTCCACACAGCAGCTGACAGACACATGGTTGAGCTTCGTTCCTTCTCTCTCTCTCAGAGCGCCCTCTAGCGGTCAAGGCATTAGCAGCAAACATCATGAAACAATATAACCAATCTGACTTTAGACTGAGGTAGGACTTCCTACTCAATTAACATACGGACACAGAAATAAATAAATTTAAAATGTAGAAATGTAGAATGCG